TTAAATATATATATATATATATTATTATATTATATATATATATAGATTATTTTACAATAAATGATCAATCATAAAATCATGTACCATAAACCTAATAAACTTATTTTTTTACTTACTGAGATTATTAATAGGATGTGAATATATAGGATCTGTTATCGGTATCATAATTTCATTTTGATCCAAGATAAATGCTTGAAAGCATAATGCCACACTATTCAAATTCACATATTTTTGGTAGCGGTCTGCATCAGATTTAATCTTTAAAATGAAATGATTATTTAATTTAAGATTTAATTACAATATAATTATTAATGTAAATAATAAAATAACATACATGTGCTTCTTCTATAGTACTAAGGGTAGCATTTATATTTTCGCGTTTTTTCATTTCCAAAGTGTTCCTTTTAATTTTTCTTATAAGTTCATCTCTAATATATTTTTTTGCTGTATGTATAATTGCCATTCCATGAAATCTAAATAACATATTAATAATAAGTGAATAAAATAAAATAGAAAATAAAAATAGAATAATAAATATAATTAATAATTTAATTTTAATAAATCTTAATTTTATGAAATTATATGAATATAGAATATGAATGAATATTATATATGTTGCATACGTTGCAATATATTCATTTTCTGAGGATACTTTAACATCATGTGGATCATCACAATCCAGACTATCATCTCTATGGACTAATTTATGTGGATGAGGAATTCGTTGATGTTCATCAGATGTAACTAATGTACATCGTATTATTGCATTATTTGGATATTTATGTAACTATATAAAATATTGAAGTTATTTATTTATTATTTATATAGCTTTTAAAAATTCAAAATTATATATTTTTATTTTTAATATTAAATAATTATTAGTAAATTATATATTATTATGTCAAATAATTATTCTTATATACATAATTATATACATACTTGTACTGTTGGTGCATTTTTACGACGATTATTATTATTACTTGATCCCACTAAACTTCCATGTGTTCCTACCATTTCTGATTTATATCGAAATCTAAATTTATCTACTGGTTGCTCCAAAATTGTTATATATGGTGTTTCAATAACTGAAAGAAAAATAATAAAATATATTTTATAATACTTTAATATAAAGAAAATTAAATATCACAAAATATATACTTATTGCATCCTTTAATGGTAAAAATTCAGAATTTGATAATGGTGATAATAGAGCAGACATAGGTGAATTAACACTTGCTGTTCCTTGAGATCCATAAAGTGGATTATAAATATCTTGATTGTTCATTGCTTAAAAAGAATAATATATATATTTTTTTTATTACTATTGCAAAATTTCATTTACTTTGTGAAATATTTATTTAAGATAAAATTAATTACAAAATTAAAAACAAATTGACAATTACCATTTCCATAAGAAAAAAAGTTCTGGTCTTCAGAGATAAACTCTAAATTTGTATAATTGTCGTAAATTTCAGGCATTGTGTTATAAAAAAATTATCACACAATTAAATAAATATTTAATTCAAATATTTAAAAATAATTAATATATTAATTATATAGACATTAAAAAATTATATAAAAAATATAAAAATTAAAAAAAACTTTAAATTGAATACAATTCTTACGACGTTCATCATAATTACGATGTACTCACCGAATATTAAAATTATTTATCCTTATCCTAATGATGCGTCAGCATATATAACCTTGATCAGATACGATAGGTTTTTCCCCATATAAAAATCAATCATTCTTAAAAATTAATTTTCCATAAGAATATTAATATTAACAGTTTGTTGAATCCTCAAATTCAATTCTAATGTTGAGTTCAATATTTTGTATGAATTTTTAATTTTGTATGAAATCTACAAATAATTGTATGAAGTCTACAAATAATAAATAATTAAATATTGAGAATATTTAATTTACAAATAAAATAAATGGATATCTTTTGATTTAATTTATAAGAATATTTATTTTTTGTTTATTTTTTTATCAATTATTAAAAATAGATTTTGATAAGTTTTAAAAAATATTAATTTTAAAAATTTATATTGTTAAAAATTATAAATATTTCAATATAATCCAATATTGATATAAATTTTTGTATCTCTTAAAACTATAATTGTAAATAAAACATAAACTAAACTTATTTTCAATAAATAAAAATGTAATTAGAAATTAATGTTTTCTTTGGAATATTTTTATGCAAGATTAAAAATCTACATTATTTATAGTTTTACGAATGATTTATCTGTAATCACTGATTCGATTCAATAAACATATATAAAACATATATAAATGCGTAAATAATACGCATTTTTAAAAATATATAATTTTTAATATTATGTATATTTTTAATATTTAATATTTCCAATTTTAAAATTTATATCTTTGAATTTTATTTATTAAGATCTATCAATTAATAAGAATAATTAAATTTTAATTTATTTTTTTCATTCAATTTTTTGTGCATATATATATATATATATATATATATATATAATTAATT